TCAAGTGTATTTTTTATATCAAAATGGAAAAAAATGAAATATGTAGTAAAAGACACTCCAACATAAGAGTATCCGCAATTGTGATCTTTAAGAGAAATTCTTAAGGTAAAAATAATTAGATAATCAGCGGATCTCACAAAAAGTTAAGGATTAATCCTTAAAGATCTCTAAATAAGGACTAATCTTTAGCGAATCTTTGTACTATTTGCGGGTCTATACGATACGTGTCGACCCGCGATTGGTTGGTATTTACTTTTTTTATCTGAGAATAAATAATAATAATTAAAAAATCAAAAACTAAGGACTCTAATAGTAATACCTTGCGGATGCTCTAACTCTATAATATAATTTACTCTATAAATGGAGTAATCCATATTTTGTTTATTCATGACTCTATTATGAAGTGTGATATAAAGTATGGTTGGAGTATTTGTTTTCATATGAGTATGGTTGGAGTATTTATTTTCCATATTCACTTTCACCCCATTTTAGGAAAAGAAGTTTGAATCTTTCATCGGAAATGCTCTTAAACATCAAACAATGAAAACTAAGGTTAACAAAGAAGAAGAAAAAAAAGGGTCGACGATTAGGTTACCTCCTGGCCGCTAGTGATTTTTTATTGTGTAAATGGGCTTTTCTAGTTTACACAAGACGTTTATTCTAGGGCCCTTTATTCCACATTTTTGAATTTTTTTGTATATATAGTTACAATTTAATAGATATGTATGACCTATGCATGTGTGCAGTGGCAGAAAGTTTGTATTCAAAAGAGAAATAAGGAAAAATAAAAATCCAGTTTACTTAAAAAGCCAAATAGTACAAATGCATGCAAATGATATGTCTCTTGGACTTTTCACTTTTTATGTAAATACAGTCTGTCATGAGCCAATAATTTGCATCGTTTCCTCATTTTATAAGTTTCTTAGTAAATTGTGTTTTTTTTTTCTGTAAAGACTACATTCTTTGAGGCTATGTATTTGATAATGGAGAACCTATATTTCGCCAAAAAAAAAAAAAACCTATATATGAAGACTATAATGTTGCTATGAACATTGGAATCATATGCTTAAATGACATAAATATGAAAAACATGAGGAAGCTAAATTCATACACATATATAGTACATGAATTTCCTTTAGACAAAAATTCTGTGAACTAGTTTTAGACATATTATATGGTACTAGAGGTTTTACCGCGCTACGCGCGGTTTATTTGCCTATAACATTTAATAAAATATGTATAAAAAATTTCCAACATATTAAAGTAATTTATATTTTAAATTAAATATATTACTTTGTGACTAACTATTTTCCATAAATTTTAGTCGCTCAAAATTCAATTAATTTATTCAAAGTTTACAATTTACAGTTATAACCTATTAAAAAAACATTAAACGTAAAAAATATATCTTTTCAAACTATTTTTTGAAACACATTGATCATTTTGAAATTGAGGAAGTATAAATTAAACATCAAAATTTAAAATAAATTAGACTGTTTATATTATATCATTGGTTTGTTTTCGTATTATATTTGACAAATTACAATGAAATTTATTTATAGATTATAAGCTTTTTTAAATATCATTAAGTTGTATTTTAGTATATATTTTAGATGTAAACAGTGTTTAAATTTATATTAAACAGTTTTTATATTTATATTATTTTTAAGAATGGTTTGCTTATTTATTACTCATGTCTTTGTTCTATCTTTTATTTAATGTATTTTTATTTTATCAAATTTTGAATAGTTTTCCTAGTTTTAATTTATTAAATTATCATTATTCCTTTTGTATGTAATACAACACTAATTTTATTTTGAAAATATTATCTCTTAAGAATATATCATAACTGTCTAGCAAATCACACTATCATTATTATGTATGTGATTTTGTGAACTCAAAGATTTTTTTTTTTAATATAACAATCAATAATGATAAAGTTGATTTTAGTTTTTTTTTTAATTTATAAATTATTTGTTTTAAAAGTTATTAATACTATGTAATTTAGGCTTTAGCCATCTTTTATATTTACGTATTTAAAAATAAATGTGTGAACAAATATTTTAAAATAATTCCAATATAATTTTGTAGAAATTTTGGTTTTTATCACAAATATGATATAATTTTTCAAATACCTTTACAAACTAAGGAAATTTGACTTTAAACTTCTATATTTTACTATTTTTCATGTTACCTTCTTTAAATGAACATTTTCAAAATATCTAAATTTGAGGTTTTATTACTAAGGCAAAAAATATTTATATCCTTGCTTTATAAACATATGAATATAAATAAATATTTAAAAAATAATAAATAATTTTTCAATTCAAACTTTTTATAAAAGAAAATATTATCTCTTAAAAATATATCATAACTGTCTAGCAAATCACACTATCATTATTCTGTATGTGATTTTTTGAACTCAAAGATTTTTTATTTTTTAATATAACAATCAATAATGATAAACTTGATTTTATTTTTTTTTTAATTTATAAATTATTTGTTTTAAAAGTTATTAATACTATGTAATTTAGTATTTATCCATCTTTTATATTTACTTATTTCAAAAAAATGTGTGAACAAATATTTTAAAATTTATTCCAATATAATTTTGTAGAAATTTCGGTATTTATCACAAATATGATATAAATTTTCAAATACCTTTATAAACTAAGTAAATTGAATTCAAACTTCTATATTTTACTATTTTCATGTTTACCTTCTTTAAATGAACATTTTCAAAATATCTAAGTTTGAGGTTTTATTACTAAGGCAAAAGATATTTATATCCTTGCTTTATAACCATATGAATATAAATAAATAATAAATAAATTTTCAATTCAAAATTTTTATAAAAGAAATTCTGAGCTTTTCAAATTTTCTTTTTGAAATTTGAAAATTATTTGAAACCATTTCTAAAATTTTATTACTATTTATTTTTATATTTATTAAAGTTCTGAACACCACCTCTCAAATCTAAGCCCCAAATCTAGATTAGTTAATCATAGAGTTATAATTTTCTATACACCTCTTTGAAATCAAATTTAAATGTAGTTAATGTAAACATGAAAATAAATATTAAGAAAGTGGTAGTTTAAATCATTTCTCTAAAATATAACCATTTTCATAAATACATTAAACTAACATTTAAAAATGTTTAAGAATGATTTATAAAACATTGAAAGGAGTTTATAAATCTAATTTCACCCCTTAAATACTAAACCGTAAACAATAATCACTAAATCATAAATTTAAATGTTAAAGTAGTTTTGATTGAATGTATTTTTGAAAAATGTTTGTCAAACTTATGGTATTTTTAGCAATTTCTATATAATTTTTCTATAGGTGTTTATTTTTTGCAGAAAAAAATAGTTTATTAATCAATTTATTCTTCTTAAACTGATTTAAATTGTCCAATTATTTTATTTGCTTTGTTCTTCGGGGTATTACTATAAATTAGTGTATATATTCTCATTTATATTGTCTATTCTTTTCATGTTTTCTTTTTTTTTTTAATCCCTCAATCAGTAATTAGTAATAGTTAAATTTTCTACCAATTTAAAATCATAATGATTTCTCTTGCCTATATCTCGTTGAACTTTATAAGTGATTATCCATTTCTATTTTATGCATTTGTCTATGTTCTTATGATATAATAGAAAATTATTGTATTGAGTTAGATTTATAAATTATTGTATTGAGATAGATTTATAATTTTTTCTGGCAACTTATTATTTATTGGCAAGTCTGTATGTGACTTTATTATTTTTTCATTAAATATCTGTAAAATCTGGTATCATATTGAAATCATTTTTTTTTTTTGGCTAATCTAACATTTTACATTTGGAACTGTTTGGAATTTGTGTTCACTGTTCAACAAAAATAGCTATAAGAATATTTTTGCTAAATAATTTGGAATAAAGATTAGGACCCAACACCTCAAACCAAAAATCAGTTAGCCCTGGCTAAAACACACCAGACTCAACATCGACTCAAATCTATTTAATGAAAACAGACACATGCCTTTCGAACGAAACCATTGAAGCTATAGGTTTTCTTCGTTTAACTCAAACCCAAATCATTTCCAAAATATATTTCGTACAATTTTTTTATTGATTTAAACTATTATATTTCTCTTTAAATACATAGATATCTTAAAATTCTTATTAAAAGCTTAAATAATTTGTTAATTACACTTTTTATTTAAATATGTACAAACATTTAATAATACAACATGTATATATAGGTGTTAAATTTTTATGAGCCACATGACTTCTAATACCACAAAATAAAATCTAATGGTAATGTTTTTACATCCGTGTAGATATTTTTTTTCATTTTTTTTCAAGTTGATAAGTTTTTCGTTTTTCTTTGTTTAGGAAAAAAGTAGAAAAAAACTAAACGTTTGTATATTAATTTAATGGAAATTTGTTTTTTCGTATATATGTTAAATTTCATAACATGTTTTTACTTTCGTATGTCCACTTTTGATATAGAGTATTTATGTTGTTCATGAACAGAAAACAAAAATATTTATGGATAGCTTCGTGAGCTCATAAAAATATATTAACATTTGTGTTTATATTTTTTATTTAGTGTGATTGTTTTGTCTACAGTTTCAACAATTTAAATTAATTTTCAATTCAATTGTAGTTTCAAATGTTTAATTTACACTGTAACAAATATTTATTTTGTTAAGTTTTATTTCTTTGGCATGTCTCTGATTTTAAAAAACGTACCACCACAAATACTCTCTTTTGTGGAATGAACTAAAGTATTTAACTGCAAGTTATTTTTTTTATTACACATTTTAGTTTGTTATATTTGCAATTTCTAATTTCATAAAAAACGTGAAGACTTTGCAAAAACAAATATAATTTCGATCTTAGAATATATATTTTGACATTAACACCAAGTCCTTATTTCCTTCATTAATATCACTTTCTATTTTTTTCTTTTTCTTGTTTAATAAAAACAGATGGTATTGTAAAATCTGTTGATCATTCTGTTACAAATCATCTAATTTTGTGTCCACCATAACGTGAAAAGAGAACGTCTTTAGTAACATGTTTTTCAATTCAAATATTTGTTTGTTCTTTATTTACACAAACATAAACCAATTTATATATTCTTCAGGTCAATGGATAAACATAAAATTTACATAGGATAAAAATGTTTTCCACTAAAAATAAAGAACTTTGTTGTCTTTTTTTCCCATAGAGATTCCTCTTGTTCTCATTGCCAACTTAGAAGCCATTTCCGGCAAAGCAATAGAAATATCAGAAAAGGTTTGTAGATTTGCCGATAGTTATGAGTGTTCTATAAATAGAAACTAAGATGTGCTTACCAGCAGGAGCTGCTGATCCAGGCTCCTTGATCGCAAGAACAACAAAATCAGACATGAAGAATGTCTTACCAGTTGAAGAAGCACACTCTAAGAAAGCACCTCCCTGAGTCTGTCCAAATCCCAAGAGAGTATTACAAAACTGAAACCAAGTCCAGTGTTGAAGAACTTGTTTTTTGCAAAAGGGTTACACGCCTTGAAGCAAGGCTACATATCACAGGGAACAGCGCAGTCATTCCAGTTCCAGCAGCGGTGGTAGAAATCTGAGCAAGAATCTCTGGAACCTCTCCGCATGATCTCTTATAGAGAGTCTTGTTATTCGTTTGAGTTTGGAATCTGTTTGCGGGTAGCCGAGACATAGTCTTCATGGATTAGTTTGTGGAAGGCTTGAAGCAATTTACACATGAACATGACTCTATACGACTAACTTAGCATCAAATATACATAGTAACCACAGAGATTAAAGTTAACTCAAAGAACAGTCAACCTAAGCCAGTTTTGAATTTCTTAAACATGCAACTATTAAAGAGCAAGGTGTACGCAACTTACAGTTTGAAATATTTACTTTTTGCAGTTGCCTCATGAATCGCCCTCTTCAGCGTGTCCAAAGTTTCACCTGCATATTTACGGCAACATATAAGAAAAAAACTATACACAAAGCTGTTATATAACTTTTTCTCTGTGTGGACCCAATGTGCAGAGTTACGGAGAACATGAGTCGAAACCTTCTCTTCTGAGACATTATGTCTCTGCTTAGCAATTGTTTCAAGCCGCCTGGTTGTATCTTTGTTCCATCTGTCACTCTTCTCAGCAATCACAAAAGAAATCTCTGTCGCTTTTGGCGGATTCGCAAGCAAAGACCAGTACGAAGTCTCCCTGCAATGTGCAAGCGGCAAGACATTAAAAGAAAATTCATTATAGAAGTAGAGTCATTGGTTTGGTTCTTATGATGAGAGCAACAAACCTGTAAGACTTGAACATTTGAATAGCTCCGTCCAGGTTAAAGGCCCATGTCTCTGAGTCTCCGGATCTCTTGAGATTGCTTCCAATCCACTCAGATAACGATCTTAAAAACCCAAGTTCCACCATATGATCCACGAGCCACCTAGAATCAAAAATCAATGTGTTTGAGTGGCATGGCATGACGTTAGATTTACATACATTGCAAGCTTTTGCCTCACTGATAAGTGGAAACTAATAAGCTACAAGTGGTCATACAAACCTAGAATATATTCCCACTTATCTACAAACACATGCATGTTTACTCTACTGACACATACCAAACCTACAAAAAATGCCAAGTACACTAATGCTCACCCAAGAGTTTCATATCAAAGTAAATATAACATTCATAAGCTAGAAAGGATCATAAAAAAGTAGTATTCATTCTCATTTATCTATAAGCATATGCACCCAGAGCAAAAGCAAAACCACAGAGATGTTTAATTTCAAATCAAGCACTCAAGATAAAAGAAAGAAACTTTACTTGCATGAAGGGATCGGTGAAGGCAAACTCTGCAACGTCATCAGAACTTTCTATACTTCACGATCACTTTGTTCATCCTTGACTTCACCAGGGACAGAGTCCAACACCCAAAGCTGTTCTGCATCAAAGAGACAGACACCATACCAAACCAACGTTTGCTATAGTCATCACACCAAATGTATAAACTCAACATTTCCTTATCATTATCCTCAGAGAAAGGCACAAAGTGGACATCTTTACATCTCAACAGTGACTAACCTTTGGGTGAAAGAAGTCCATTCTACAAACAACACCACCATAACCAAATCACACAACACATTACAAAATGCAAAACAAAGAGTGAGAGAGACAGAGACTAACCTTTGGGTTCGTTCACCAAAACCACAGTACCATTAGGACCATCCCATCTAGAAGGAAGCTCACCGTTTCTCGGCCTCGGCATCGTCGGCGGATCGAACGGCATGAACGCTGGCTCCCTTATCCCCACCCGTTTCGCCTTGGGAGTCTCCGAGTAGCTGAACAGAAACTCGAATGGAGCGCAGAGGAGCTTGTAGGAGATGCCGGATTCGCCGATTAGGATCGTGCGGTCTACGTCGGAGGAGATGACTCCTTTTACGGTTTTGTCGTAACGTGTTTGGTGGAGTGGGAGCTTAAGGGCTGGGTTTGATTGTGGCTTGGGATGAGTTTGATTGCGGTTGCGACGGGATGGTGAGTACTTTGGTGTTGGAATCGGTGGTAGATGAAATCGTAACAGAGGAAGTCGAAAGGTATGAGTACATCATCTGCTTTCTATATTTCTCCGACGGCTAACCAATTCTGAAATCGTAAATAACCAAATAGCAGATTATAATTTCGGACCAAAACCATACGTGGTTGCAAATGTCTAAATCGGATCCGATGTGGCAGATTGGAGCTATATTATTGGGTAAATATAATTGCACACGTGGACACTGTGAAAAGGCTAGAATAAGCCCTTTTAATAGTAATAGATTTAAACACATGTCCGCTTACACTTAAGCTCGTGCTTTGTATTCTTCAGCCAAGCATTCTTAAGCTAGAGCTATACATTTTCCTATTAAAAAAGTTCTAAAGTAATGTTTCGTGCAATATGTTTGTAAGTTTTCTATTTAATTATATGAGTTCTTAAAACCATATTCAGTACACGTTTTTAAACGAAATGGACGTTCACCATTCATCAATACACAACTTTAAAGTTCAAAGGAAACAGTTCTCAGGCTTGTTAATGTGAACATGATGACATGCCATATAATTATTGGTTGAATCAGCAATATATTGACACTCCTAACAGGAAAAAAAAAATCAAGTCATTTATATGTAAAAGAGTTTAAATATCATTACACAGTAAATGTAAGTGCAATAACTAAATCAGCTATATATTGTCCAAAGTCGGCAATTTCTTGAAGTTGATATTTTGAATTTTGAATATTGGCACAGACTGATTTGACATTGGAAAAGGCAGCATGTCATGATTGTATATCCATACCACATGTCAGATAAGATAAAATTACAATTATAAATAAACTGATATTTTTAATTATTTTATTAATCCCTATATTGATCAGAAAATAGTTAACTGCTGCCGGTTTAGTTGATTATAGCCTAATTTCGTCAGTTTGGTTTAGCACAGAACTTGAACCGATAAAATAAATAGCAGAGATTAATTAATTAAGATGATCGTGGTCTCTGCTTAAAAACTGTAACAGAAGGAAGATGAGCACACGCCGTTGTCAATGTTCGTCTACATGCTTTCAAAGGCTCTTCCTTTTTACTCTTCTCTGATGCCTTCCCTTTCGCATTTCATCTCTTTTCGATTCTGATCTCGTTTTGGTTCAACATTAGTTTTTTCCGGTGAAAGCTTCCAACTTTATTTCCTTTTTTTACTAAATCCTTCACTGTCTTCATAAAGAAACTTCAAAAAAAAGGCGGCGTCTTTTAGGGTTTGTGCTTTTCTACTTATCTCTTTCGGAATTGGGTAGAGATTATGCTTTTAAAGGGTAGTTAGGTTTTACTCAGATATTTTTTTTTTACCATTTTAGGAACTTTTCCGTGGAGTTGAAGAAATTGTAGAACAATGGAGGAGATGAAAGTGGAGAATGAGTTGAACCTCTTTGGTTTGAAGAAAGACAATTTGGCTAAACAGTTGGACAAGATTCATTCTCATTCTTCTGATATACTTCTCTTCAGTGTTCTGTGGAGTGATTTATCAGATTATCTCAATTCTGCTGAAGAGAAGGTAGAGAAGAGGTTTAGGGAGTTAAAGTTGAAAGAGGCTGAGTTGCAAAATCAAAGCTTTGTGCTTGAAGAAAGGGGTAAAGTGGTTGAAGCAGCAGAAGCTGTGGCTGTTGAGTTAGAGGTGAAATCTGATGGGATTAGGGTGGAAATTGAAGCAAAGAGGAAGGAACTTGATTTTGTTAGGAATCAGGTTGAGGTTTCTCAAGAGGAGTTCAATGTAGAGGAAGTTAGACTACATCAGCTTAGGAAGTCGGTGGAGGAGTGTATGGAAGAGAAAAGGTCAAAGGAAAGTGAGCTTAATGAGATGTTGGAAACGTTGAGGAAGACTCAGGTTGAGCTTGGTTTTAAAAGTGAGCAGTTGGCAGATATGGAGGCTGATCTTGAGAGGTATCGTACTGCTATCAGTGCAGAGATGGAGCATTTGGGTAGAACTCAAACTCTCAGGATAAAATTGGATGAGGGAGTTAAGAGAGAGACTGAAGATCTCAGCCTTGTTCAGGACAAAATTGCAGATTGTGACAAGTTGCTTCAGAGACGGACTTCTGATCTAGTAAAGACTCAGGAAGAGCTTGATTTAAAGAGGGAAAACTTGGGGCAGATGAAAGCTGATCTTGAGAGGCTTCGTGTTGAGGTCAGTGGAGAGAAGGACCATTTGGAAATGACTCAAACTCACAGTAGAGAATTGGACGAGGAGATAGAGAGAAAGCTGAAGGATCTTAGAGCGGTTCTTGATAAAACTGCGGAATGTGGGAAGCAGCTTGAATCAGTGGAAGAAAAGCTAGATTCCCAGCAGAAGCTGCTTGATACACGATCCTCAGAACTCGTCTCTAAAGAGAAAAAGTTGCAAGAACTGAGTCTTGACCTTGACTTGAGGGAACAGACGGTCATAGCACTAAATAATGACATGGAGGAGACTTGTCAACATATGGAATCAAAAGCCAAGGAGCTGGAAGACATTCACAAGCAAATTGAGGAAAAGAGTGCTTATTTTGAATCAGTCAATTTATTGATTGAGGAACACGCTGAAGAACTATCTTCCAAAGAGAAGCAACAGGATGAAATAACTGAGACCATTCGTAAACTATCCTTGGAAGTTACCTTTAAAGAGAAAACATTGGAAAGAGCTGAAGATTTTATCCATCGGCTCTCTGAGGAGCAACAGTCAGCAGAGAATAAACTGGATTCAACTAGAATACATTTAGAAAGATGCATTGCTGAGCTTGAGTCAGCGAAAATAGAACTTCTCTCTGTGAAGGATACACATAGAGAGTTACTCCAAGACCTGGACATCAAAGAGAAGGAGTTAAAGTCCTTACAAGCAGTAATCACTGAGAGAAATAAACAAGTTGAAGAAAGAGAGAAGAAAATGCAGCATTTGAATGACTCCAATGAGGAACTTACCAGACAACTAAAGTTGAAAAAAGAAGAGGTTTGTTCAGTCAACAAGGCGATCAGAGAATGCTCAGGTGAGTTAGAGGCGAAGAGGAAACATCGTGATCAGGTTCAAAGCTCAGTTACTGACCTTACTACTCAGCTCAAATCAAAAGAATGTGATCTTCATTCTGTCAAGAAAAAGATTAAAGGCAGCTTGAAAGACTTGCAATCTAAAGAGGAGGAGCAAGTCAGATTGAAAGCATCGTTGATGGAACGGGAGCAAGGACTTGAACTAAAAGAGAAGGAGCTTGATGCACGTGAGAAAAGGATCGATAAAAAGGACCAACAACTGAAATCTACAGAACAGAAGTTGGCTAAAACTTACAAGGAAATTGAGCTAAAAGCAAAGCAACTGTCCAGCTTTTGTCAAAAGCGCACCCCGGATAAACATGGTGACTTAGTACGAGACGCCAATGTAAACGACGAGAAAACTTTGCAGTTACTCTTACGTGGGCATCTGAAGAAATGTTCTCAGCTTTACCTTGATGTTTTGAATTCTCTAAAAGCATCTTCTGACCCGGCAAAGCTTGTGTTAGAAACAATACGAGGGCTTTACTCCACTCAGCAAAGGCTGGAAGAAACAAATCTTGATCCAAATATTGTTAGAAGTAGTATCTGCTTGCTGGAATGCTTTATCGATATGTCACCAAAACCCAATACTGAAGTACAAGGAGAAGCTTTCACATTCGCCATGGAATGCAAGAACACAACTCTGATTAAGGCAGAGAATCCTGTGGAGGTGTTGGGTTTTCTTCACTTTCTTGCTGCATTGAGTGTGACGTATACTTTTGATAACGACCAAGTTAAGAATCTTTTAGACGACGCCTTTCTTCGCAAATATGCTCCGAGTCTATGCGAAGTTCTTGGAGTAACAGCTTCAGCACCTGGTATGTTTTCTTAGTAGAAATATTTACATGTTCCCACTTGTCTCTCACTCTTCAAGTAACATATCTGAAAATCAATTGTTTCTTGAGTAACACAAAGGTATTCTACAAAACTTATCCTGTATATTTATCTGATCCACAAGAATTTTTTTTTGAAAAACCTGAAATCTTTAAGAACATCAATTAAATTCTATCATAGTCTTGTGATGCTTATTGAGTTTTTTTTGGACAGCCAACAATGTGATATCATTGGATGATAAGCCTGAACAGCATCCCCCTGAAGCACCAATCAACAACAGTAGTGATTCTCGCTCCTTGAATGTCCAAGAAAACATGGCATCATCTCCTTTGGCTAATGAAGGTGCCCTTAGGGACATTGTAGGCTCACCTTCTTTCTCACCTAATGAAGTCTCTACTGAACTGCCACTATTAAAAGATCCAGGCAGGTTTGTTCTAACTTCGGTCGATGATGCACTCACGGGTGCTAGTGAGAGAGGCGAATTGAGTTTAGCAGAGCCTATAGTTAAGACGTTGGTTCCCCTCTTGGAGGAGCTGACACGTGTTGTACGCTCTACCGACTCTGAACTACAAGCAGATGCAACCAAAGTGGCACATCGATGGAGCTCGATGATGGGAGCTAGTGGTCTTAAGTCGCAGCTTGAGTCTTGGGCTTTTCTGCAATTCATTGTGGCCTATGGATTGGCAAAACAAACTAATCAAAATGAAACTTTACATTTTGCCTCTTTCGTTGCTCACTTCAAACAAGCTCCAAAACTCTTTAGATCTCTTGGTCTCACTTCTGCCATCCCAAGTAAGTTGTTCTTCTGCAACACATTATTTTTCACTTCCTGCTCTTAACATTTGTGATACACAGAAGACTAACAAGTATATTTTACTCGTTTATCTTTGCACAGATTTTGTTAAGGAGCTCCTAATGAAAGCCATATATATTCCGGCAATCCGGTTTATGCTCTACTTCAACGTGAAGAGCAAGTTTTCTCCCTTGGCTTTCTTAAAGCAAGAGATCATGAATCTTAGACGCTCTGCCAACGAAAAGAGAAGACTTGAATCACAGGTTAAGATTTGTCGGATCCATCACTTGGCAAACTGTATAATTTCATCGTTGTTGACTTTTAAATCTGGAATCTTTGTTGGCATATAGGCTGAAGCTATTAGAGATGCTACTAAAATGAGAGACATAATGGATATCATTGAAGACTTCAAGCTGGAAGTTGATCTTCCTGTGGATCTTATCCTCAAATTCATGGTTCAACGGGAAATTCCAAATCAGAACCAACATGTTGTCTCATCATCTATCTCAGGTCAACCAACGCAGACTCTTCCACGGGACATTCCAAATCAGAACCAACATGTTGTCTCATCATCAATCCCAGGTCAACCAACGCAGACGCTTCCGAGATTTCATATGCAGGCACCACACACGGTCATTCACAACTCATACATTGCCACTCATAGCTCATTCCCGTTCCTTCCAAGAAGCTTAGGTGCAGCACCAAATCCACAGGTTGTTGACTTGGAAACACACCAAGCTGGTGATTCAACTGCCTTCCACGGTCAATCTTCATATCAGACTGGTATTAAACGTCCAAGGGTGGATCCTGGAGGTCCTAGACCAGTGATAAAACCTTGCTTCAATCCACCACCAGGTTATGGTAGATTCTAGTGTGTTTTTCCTCAAGGGCCAAAGCCGTAAAGCTAGCTAGACAAGTAGTAGGAAGTAGCAAAGAAGTAGGTCTTGCCTTTTGGTATAGAATCTAATAACATGTTTAGGTTATGTGTAATAAGCTGCCCCATTTATCTCCTAATATCTCTGGTTACTGTGTAAAAAGAATTACTATCTCCTAATCTCAGGACTCTACAAATTTCTCTAATCAAAATTATTTCTGCCATGGTAATAATCATTTTTAAAAAAACTAGGTAAAAGTCCGTGATACGCTGTGGATTGTTCTCTGTTTTGATTTTTTTAAAAATTTAGTATCATGTTTTGATAAAATAAATATTGATAAAATATATTTTAAATAAAATATGAATATTGTTAATTTGGTATTAACATTTTGAACAACTCTGTTTAAAATGGAAAAACATAAATGAAAAGTAAATACGTGTTTTCTTAGTTTATATATGGATTCAACTTTCATATTTAGTCCAATTTGATCATTAAACCTCTAAATAAAAAACACTAGATTTTGACCCGCTCTAAATAAAAAACCTCAAAATTTTTGATAAGTAAAATTGATATAATTGGGTTATGTCTTAATTTAAAGAATGTTTTAGTATAAAATCAGTTTACCAAAATTTATGGTGATGATTTTTTTTTCATTAGTTTTTAGTTTCAGTTTTTATTTTTACATTTTGGTTTTTAGTTTTTAAGTTTCTATTTTTGATTTTCAGCTTTTGTTTGGGTTTTTAATTTTTAGATCCGCTGAGTTAGTTTGAACTGATATTACCAACAAACAAATTTCAAATAGTCGAACATATAATTTAAAACTAAAAAGATGACAAAAAAAATTTAAAAACAATTTGCAATAGATTATTTTGTAAATAAACAAAAGCAAAAACTATAACAATATGTTATCCAGAACAATTCGTTTTCAGCTTTTGGTTTTGGGTTTTAGTTTTTAGAATTGGTTTTTGGTTTTGCTTTACATTTTTTTTAAATCAATAAATTATTTAAGAAAATAAAACAATAAATTATTTAAAAGTTACCATTGAAATTTATCAAAAAGTGATTGTTATTTAAAATAAAAAATACAATAACATGTTTTAAAGTACATGATTTAAATAAATGATTAATAATAGACAATTTTGTTTTGTTAAAAATATTAAATACATTTGGGCCTTGATTTTTTTATCCATTAAGATATAAATTTTATTCAATGTTTTTTGGAGTTTTTCCTTAATAGTAAGCCTAAAAATCAAACCATATAATTTGTCCTAAAAACAAAAGTAAGCCCAAGACTATATCCCATAAGTAACCATCGGTTTAATTTAAGTAATGCGATTCAATTAACTATATGGCTTGTTGTAACACTCTAGAAAGAGTCCAAATTTAAATGAAAATTTGTATTAGTAGATAAAAAGAAATACTCTATTTTAATAGAGTAGATTTCCATTGGTTTCATATAATTATTAAATTTTCATTTTTTTAAGGAATTGTTAAGATGCTAAATGGTATATTACGATTTCCACATTAATATAATTAGTAGATTTCCATATTTCATATTTTGATAATATATATTCTTTTAGAACATTCCATATTTGTAGGAGAAAATATGTTTTTTTGGTAGACACATAGATATGTGCCGTATTTTGAAGATACTTTACCTTAAGGTCGCCATGTTACATTACTTGTGTTGGTTTAATTTAAGTAATGCGGTTCAATCAATTATAAGACTTATATTATTTGTAACACTCTAGAAATGGTCCAAAATTAAATGACAACTTGTATCAGTAGATAAAAAGAATGACTCTATTTTAAAAGATTAGATGTTACTGAAACTTTAGTTTATATTTCTCTTTTAAGTTATGTAATTTGAATATATCAATTAAATTTCTACATTTATCCCATGTTATGTCAAATTTTATATTTATTATTAGGATCAGTCCGCGAACGCGCATGATGCAATGTAATTTTTTGTTTGAGATATAATTTCTTTGTAAAGAAACTTTTTATTTATTGGTTTGCATTTGGATGTTATGTTTGCATTTTTTATGTACAGTAGTTTAGTTATTTGTAGTATATTAACATAAATGTAGTGTAGAAACATTTAGTATATCCCCTTTACATGAGTTATAGGGTTGGATTGGTTAAAGTGCAACGGTTGCAGATGCGATTGCAAGAGTTTGCAGTTTGGGTGGTTACAGTTTATATTTTTATTGAACGATTTATAAGATAAATACATCGGTTAAAATTGTTATGTTTGCAGAATATTTATAAATGGTTGATTATGAAATACTACATCAGTTTAATAATAAACTACCAATATTAATATATTATAACATTGAAAAATATTAAAAAGATAATATCAGGATAAAATATAATTATTATTAATATAACTAATAACAGTATTACATTTATTAATTTTATTTTATTAGTTTAAAAAGTTATAGTTTCAATAAAAACCTTTTGAAGATTTTTTTTGACAAACCTTTTGAAGATTTCTATTAGAACTTAAAAAATCCTTATCTCTATACTATTATTTAAGAAGTAAATTTTGCTTAGTTGTCATGTTCTCCATAAGTTTAGGTAATTTTGTTTATTTATCTTATTCTTAATATTTATATATACTTTATTTATAAATAAAAAGAACTTATATGAATATATCATATTTTTAGTAAATAAGATAAATCTTGTGAATTATGTTGTTATCTTCAAATATTTATTTTCTATATAAAACTTAAATTTTAAATTAAGATATAAACACTATTATATTTATCTATAACAAATTTATATTAATAATTTAATATTTAAATATAACTAAAACGAATTTATATTAATAATTTAATATTTTTCTAAAATAAGATAATCATTATGGAATATGTTGTTATGTTGAAAATATATTTTCCTATTATAAAACTTAAATTTAAGATATATTTAGTTATGATTTATATTTAATTAAGATATATTTAATTTTTATATATAAAACTTAAATTTTAAATTACGAGGAAACCTTACGAGGACTTTACGAGGAAAATATAACCACGCGTTTACGAGAAAATGTTTCCTCGTAAATTAACTACGACCTTACGAGGAAAATGGCTTTACGATGAACGTGTTTCGACGAACCGTGTTTCTTCGTAAGATCCTAGTAAATGGTCATTTACTAGGAAATAACGAGGAAATCTCGTCCTAGTAATGGACGAGTTTTCTTGTAGTGTTAGTTCCAAAAATCAAGCTTAAGAAACTCATAGCTAAATTCATGGCTGAGAATTTGATGAGTTATTTGTGGCTTCAAGAATTTGAGTTGTTGAAGATCAAACATAGCTTCGTCTACGAAGTATCAACTTATTGAATGATTTCACTTTAAAATAATGTGTCAATTGAATTGTAAAAATAAAATGTTTTCATTGGTTTTTTACTTTTTCATTTATTGATATGTTATCTCCACAAAACTCGAAAATGCTGAAGTGTCAATTTTTTGAGAGATACTTGTGTTATTATTATGTTGATTTTTGACGAGAACCAATGTTTTCAAATGGATTAACCTAATATAGCAGGATACAACGTGTAGCTTATATAGGATCTGATCGGGTATTAAGCTTTGAAGGCTTAGAAGAATTTAAGTTTATTTAAAACTATTAAAATCAATAATTTTATCAATCACATTTTTGTTTTCTTAAAAAATTTCAAAGTCCCTAAAAACATTTAAAGTCTAACTTTTTTCTTTTGTTTACGTTTTCTTTCTGTTTTTAAAAGTCAGAAATTGAAGTTTTAGAACATTTTTTTTTAAGTTATAGCCACTAAACCAACAGCCAAATTTTTTTAAAGTAAAATATTTTAGAATTCTTAACAGCCAAAGTCGTAAACACCAAAATAATGCATTTTTACCCTTACATATTACCAACTGTACTGTTCGACATAAAAAAATTAATAAATTTAAATAAATTAATAGATTTTTTTTTTGATTTCGTGGACCATTAATTTTCACCCAGACCATAAAATATCTTTTTTGAAGATAAAGGTTATTGGTTCTTTCATATCTGTTGGAAAATCGTCGACAACCACTCTGGTCATGGAAAAAGAATTTTGGTTAAACAATACAAATTGTTATTGGGAATTGAAGGATCTATTCCAATTCCATTTCCATTTCAATGACGCGTAGTAACAGAGCAAAGTCTATGTAGGTTAGTTTGTTAGGTTCTCTTATATTCTCTGAATCTTCATTCATATTTTCGTTACATGTTGCAATGGTGTTTCAAACCTACGTTGAAAGAAAGTTTGGAGACTTTCTTTTCGTATAGCCTGATTGTTTCTATTCCATTTCTAAGTAATCCTATATGAGTGAGTCTTTAAATTGAATAAATTTGTAAATGTGGACCAATGTATAAATATGTAAATTTATTTGGAACTGGAATAGCTTACATATATTGTAACAAAATAATACAACCTTTTGATCACATAGTCACATAGTATGGACCCATGCATGATGCATGCACCTATGAACCGTAGTTTGTATGTTTATGTTTAGATTGAATTGTTGTTTTTAACCAACAAAACTAAATAGAATAGTGTGTGTTGGTGTAGAATAGAATAGACAGACTATATTGATAATCAACAACATACATAAAATACTATTTATGAGTGAAAATAGAATAATAATACTGTTAAATATAATGCAATGTACTTTTGGGTTGATCTGTGTATCTTGTTATATTTGTTTTAAACGAAATATATGTATGTATTTGTGTAACTATGATAGAATTTTCTGAATTTGTAAATAAATAGTGTTTGGTGTATGTGCATTGGTATATCTATGCTAATACATTTAATTTTCCCTCCAGTTATTCAGGTTTGTAATGAAAGATTTAGGGCTACCAAATTGTTTGTTCAAAACTGGATTTGAATCAGCTGGCCAAAAACGAGAACATTGTAGATATGGTCCCATACATTTTCGGTACTGTTTGTTTATTACATTCTTTCCCGGCAGTTGGTAACTGTAAATCTTAGACAATATACTATTTATTAATTTGAGACATCTATAGTATAGTGTTTCTACATAATTTGATCACTTCGGTAATTTGTACTATATTGTTTTACATGTTCTAGTGTATATATATTTTCATTTATATAATGTTACAAATCATTAATTATATAAAATTTGTTTATTAATTCATTATTAGTTTACACCATTTGTACAACTATAATTATCATATTTAATTACTTATAATTTTCATGTGTATGCAATCTTTCAAATTCTATTGTTCTATTCTATTGGAGAAATATAGAATAGGAATGCAACATAGTATTTAATATGTTTTGTTGTTATTCCATCTTTAACATTATCAACATTACAATCAACAGTTGTTTCATCCAGAAATTTGATTATTTAACAAATTTATTCTTACAAATTACAAAATATTTCCTATTATTTCCAGATTTTGATATTCGTATTTAGGGTGTATATTTAGATTTATGATTTAATGATTAGAGTTTAGGGTTTAGTATTTATGTGGTGGGGTGAGGTTGGGATAATGTTTATCATTTACGGCAAATTAAGTACTTTACATAATTGTTTGATAATTTCATTAACTTGTATTATACTATACTATATATTATATTCTAATTCATTTGCAAATAGAATAGACTCTTTCTTCTGTACTATTCCCTCCGTTTCATAATAAGTGTTGTTGTAGAGAGAAATTTTTGTTATAAAATAAGTGTCGTTTTCGGTTTTCAATGCAAAATTTATTAACTTTATTCTATAATCTATTTTTTATTAGTTGAAATATGGTTATGTGTATAGGTAATTGTGATTTTATATAGGAAATCTATAAAAATAATTGTTTTTAATTCGTATACCGAAGTCTAAAATGACATTTATTATGAAACAGAGAGAGTATTTATTTATGTTCTATTCTACTTTTTTGTACATAGATAACAATATTATCGCCACCACTCCATCGTTTGTCATCCTCCTCTGTAAATTATATTTGCATTTTATCTTTCATATGTCATATTTTTTTAAAAGTCATCATAATTACTAGAAACCCATTAAATAGCAAATGATTCACTATGTTTCTTCCAACTAAATGTTCTGATCTTTTGCATAATTATACATCCGATCTGAATGGTTGTACCAGAAGGTAAAGAATATTAAAGATTTGAGATTTCTTGAAAATACATGTTTATGATAATTAATTAGGTATTTTAGTTAGTTATTGATTAGAACATCTACATTCTTAATTTCTTGTCATCAATAACTTAAAAATGATAAGAACATAACTGAAAAAAACTGATAAGGACATAAATGAAAAAACCGTATAAGGAATGATATCTATTTAATAACATCAAAATCAAACCTATTTTCTTAATTTTGACTCTAAATTTGACTATATGACACATTCTCCCATAAGGGTCAGAT